CCGGCAGCGGAATTGGGATGCACCGCTAAAACCGTGAAATCGTAAGAGGCGGTCATTTAATCCGGAGAAGTGTAAAGTTATGCATTTAGGGATGACTAACAAGAATTTTAGTTATAAGCTGGGGACGCATCGGTTGGAAGTAACGGAAGAAGAGAAGGACCTCGGAGTCCTGGTTGATCGCAGGATGACTATGAGTTGGCAATGTGACGTGGCCGTGAAAAAAGCTAATGCGGTCTTGGGATGCATTAGGCGAGGTATTTCTAGTAGGGATAAGGAGGTGCTGGTTCCATTATACAAGGCACTGGTGAGACCTCATTTGGAGTACTGTGTGCAGTTCTGGTCTCCCATGTTTAAAAAGGATGAATTCAGACTGGAACGGGTACAGAGAAGGGCCACTAGGATGATCCGAGGAATGGAAAACCTGTCGTATGAAAGGAGACTCGAGGAGCTCGGTTTGTTTACCTTAACCAAAAGAAGGCTGAGGGGGGATATGATTGCTCTCTTTAAATATATCAGAGGGATAAATACCAGAGAGGGAGAGGAATTATTTCAGCTCAGTACTAATGTGGACACGAAAACAAATGGATATAAACTGGCCGTCGGGAAGTTTAGGCTTGAAATTAGACAAAGGTTTCTAACCATCAGAGGGGTGAAGTTCTGGAACAGCCTTCCGAGGGAAACAGTGGGGGTGAATGATCTCTCTGGCTTTAAGATTAAGCTTGATAAGTTTATGGAGGGGATGGTTTGATGGGATAACGTGATTTTAGTCAATAGGTCAATAACGTGCCATCTCTGGTAATTAGTAACAATGGTCAATGATGAGATATTAAAAGTTACTACAGAGAACTTTTTCCGGAGGGTCTGGCTGGAGAATCTTGCCCGCATGCTCGGGGTTCAGCTGATTGCCATATTTGGGGTCGGGAAGGAATTTTCCTCCAGGGTAGATTGGCAGAGGCCCTGGAGGTTTTTCGTCTTCCTCCGCAGCATGGGGTAGGGGTCGCTTGCTGGGCAGGGATCGCTTGCTGAAGGATTCTCTGCGACTTGAAGTCTTTAAATCATGATTTCAGGACTTCAACAGCTGAGTCAAGGGAGAGAATTATTCCAGGAGTGGGTGGGTCAGCTTTTGTGGCCTGCATCATGCGGGAGGTCAGACTAGATGATCATAATGGTCCCTTCTGACCTTAAAGTGTATGAGTCTATGAGAACTGCAGCTTGGTCCCTGGCCCCGCTCTTGATCCCCTTACTCCTGTCTGCGTCCCCCTCCCCTGGGGGAGGGGGCATTAATAAGGGTAAAGGGGGGCATGGCCCTCCAAAATTTGGGGGCTGCTGGCTTAAATCTTGAGGTGCTTTGACCTGTGAGTCCCAGTGCAAAACCCAAAGAATACACTTGTTTTTTAAACATATTTGTTATAGATATTTCTCTGCTACTACTCCACTAAAAGCTTGTGTGAGGCAGTGGAAAGGGGTAGCATTTTTTAAAATGCTCATGATCTAATAGGGACTCACATACATATGGAAACACCAGAGGTTTGTTTTGGTTTCTTTATAAGACCTCCCTATGTTTTTTGGTAGTATATCCAGCCTGCTGCCCACCTGTGACTGGGTTTTTCCCCTTTGCCATTGACTGTTTTCACCCACAATCTCTGGCCTCTCTCCAGCAACCTTATGCCTGTCTCAGCCTGTACCCTCTGTACCCACCTACACACCAGTTTTTTGATTCCTCATGTCATCTGGTGACACCATTTTCCCCCTGCTGGCCAGAAGTGGAGCTGATCTTGCAGCTGTCCAAACTGTGGAGGAAGTTAGGAAATACAGTCTGATCCCCTGCTGAAGCAACCGGGACTGCAAATGGGGAGTAGGGATCTGGACTTTGGCTGGATGCTTGTCTGAGTGCTTGACCCTAACAGTCACTGTTCTTAAAATAATAATAATAATTAGTAAATTGATGTGAGTAGATCAGGAGAAATAAATCAATAGTATTAAATGTGCTCTATACAGTTACCTTTTTTAGAAATATTTTTATTTTGTAGTTTTCTTAGAAAGCTTTCAATGTTAGTAAAGAGGATTCTACAGGATGGTGTTAGTATATAACACTGTAAGATTTCTTTTTAGTAAAATATGAATTTAAAGCAACTGCAGCATTTGAAAACAACCTGTATCTTAAACAATATAATTTGTTTCTATATTACATAGGAACACCATAAAAGATCAATCCCAAAAGATACTTGGAATCTTCTGTTAGACTTTGGAAATATGATTGCAGATGATATGTCAAACTATGATGAAGAAGGTAATTAATATGAATTTTAATATTTTTAAAAATTGGATTTAGCAAAATTGAAATAATGCTGTGAATAAACTCCAAAACACAACTTATACCCAATGTTTTAAAATGTATACTTTTGGGAGCAGAGCTACAAATATACTAGATCATATTTGTTGCCGAGAATGTTGCCTGTAAGTAGGCGGAACAGGATTTTGTTTTAACATGCAGATGAAAGTAAGCAGTCCTTAACTGCACTGGTACAGTACATGCTAGCTAACATGTTATGTTACAGGAGCCACAATAATACTGTGTATTCTCGTACAAAAATCCTTATTAGCTTTAAATTAAGGCTATTAAACTTAGAAAACTATCTACACAAAATAGCTTTTTAATAGTGTATAGAAGTCTGGAAGTGAAAATTAAGTTTATGAAAATATTTGTTCATAGTCGATGTAAATATCTAATAATAAAAACTAAACCTTATCTCTTCTAGTAAAAAATATTAAGGACAAATATCTGCATTTTTGTGTTCTTTCTAACATATATTATACTGTGGCCCCAAATCTACAAACACGTACACATGTTGAGTATCTTCATGTATGTGAATAGTTCCCATTATATGAATGTTTCTAATAGGAGTACCATAATCTTGCTTTCACCTCAAGTTTATTATAAACATCTCATAATATGAATTATGATACAACATTCAAATAGTTTTCGCTCAGAGTATAGCTCAGAGAGAACATGCTTTAATGTTTTCTTTTATTAGTTAGGCATGTTTTCTTTGTGAAAGATTGCCCATGCCATCACCTTGTTATATCCAGTCCAATGACTAAGATATAGATCATGCTGTGAAGTTGGTATCCCTTGTGTTTAAAGACTAAATAGATTTATTTTAGGTTTTACGACTTTTTACATTGTTTGACTTCTCTTTAGGAGCATGGCCTGTTCTCATAGATGATTTTGTGGAATATGCACGACCAGTAGTCACAGGAGTAAAGCGTAAAACCTCCTAACCACAGACACTTCCAAATGGACTAAGTTTGCAGTCTGAACTCTATCAGGTAATGAAGACCTTTTCGTCAATAACTGTGCACACCGTCACTGGTTTCAGTGGTCGTGGCAAGATGCCACTGACAAAACTTGAAATTGCTCCTTTCCGCCTAAAGAAAATGATGGCTGACTAATGGACACAGCAAGAAGAAACTCAAGATAGCCCAGGTTGTTCATAGGATATTGGCTTCAATTATTGTGCTGGTTGTATCATATAGGATGTAGATTTTGCATGATTTTATAATTTGGGGAAGTTTAACTAGAGGCCATTTTAAAGTTTTGACAGCACGGCATGCCATTCAGTTCATGATCCAAGATGAACACCAGCAGTTACATAATTAAAACTGTATTATATTGTACTTATATTAAAAGCAGTATTTGTGGTATATAAATTAAATCCCTAAATAAAACTTATGTAGTATGTTGTATTTTTATACAAGTCAGCTCTGTGTAAGTATCTGCCCTAATATAAACTTGTAACAAAAAACTTACTGACACTTTTTTTTCTTGGTGCCAGGATTCTAGATTTATATTTTTAAGCTCTCAAAAATGTACAGACCATGTCTGTTTTTTTCCCCTTGTAAGATTAACTTCTTCATCACAGTGTTCATCTGATGTGTGTGTGGTTATGTTAGCTATCAGTAGCATTGCTGCACAAGGACTGCTCTACATTGTTTTGACTCCAAGACTGGTTTGAATAGGATTATTTACAGTGTTGATTAGTCATTTTTACTTTTTTTAAATAGACCCTTAAACAACCAAAGACACATTTTTATAATTAATTGATAAACATAATTCAATTTTTCTTCAACTTTACATTTTCCATTTACTTTGTAAATAATGAATTTGTGAGATTTGAGGATTTTAGTAGCCTTCAATTTACCGTAAAATAGCTAGGTTCCATTTAAATGAAGTATTCTGTGCATGCAGTTCCTGATATGATCTCAACCCCAAAAAGGAAGGGGGAAAATAAAGAAACATTGTCTATACTGTGGTTATATCTCTTAACTCCCCTTCTTGAAAACCTTTGGCAGGGGGTTGATTTTTTTTCCCTGCGTTATGAAGCCTCTTGCTTCTTGTTGTTCTAAATATTTTATAAAACAGGTAATAGTTCTTCTTTGAATAGGGTCCCTATGGGTGCTCCACTTCAGGTTCAAATGCGCCTTAAATCCTTGATTGGAGATTTTCCCTTAGCTGTGTTCGTTTGGCCCACACAAGTATCCTATACATCTTTAACCTCACACCAAGGCTATATAGGGTTGTGCAAGCGAACGACCCTCAGTTGGTTTTCAGTTCCACCTGGGCCTGAGATAGACCACTACTGTGTCTGCCTGAAGCGTGCCTCAGCTAACTTCTTGTTTATAGTTTAGTGTTAGCATTAAATAGTTGTTAGTAGATAAGTAGCATGAGGATTAACTTTGTGCCTCTCCCTCCCTCTGGGAAGCCTTTCTCTCCTGGCGTACATAGCTCTACAGGATTCAAACATCTCCCAGTCAGCTGCAGCCACTCTAAGTCCACCACTTGGGAGAGTCGCATGTCTCCCAGAAGTGTGACTTCTGCCTGGCCCTTAAATCCAGGGCAAGGAAGAACCAGTTGAGGCTGGTGCTGATGGAGCGCTCCCTTCGACCTGCTTTAGAGAGTCATGTCAGGATATCCCTGCTTTGGAAATCTATCTCCGGACAGATCCAGTGCCCCTTGGACCTCGGCAGAGATCTCCCCTAGAAAGGCCAAGCACTGGCTCCCATCATAAGGAGACTGCTCTCAAAAGATCTTGGTCCCCCAGTAAGTCCATGGTATCAGAAGCCTCAGCCTCTCGGCTCCATACCTCAGAGGTGAAAGACTCCTTCAGTACCAGTGAGTCCAAAGAGTCCCAGAGTTCTAAGGAGAAACACAGCTCTGACTGACTACATGGGACAAGGAGGACAAGGATAAGCGCTTCTCCAGCCCATTACCATTGAGCATGGCTTTATCGTTGGCACCTCCCCAGTTGGGACCCTCAGTATCACACAACCGAAGTTTGTAACACCACCAGTCCCTACTTTGGTCTGCTTTGATTGCCAAGCACACTGCCATGGCGGTACCGATCACTTGATACCACAGGAATTCAGATACTCAAAGGACTTATCAATGGCTGAAGGACCAGAATCTCCACTGCTCATGGGTACTAAATGCTTCTTGGTATCAAGATCCCAGTCTCTGGACTACCATTGCTCTCTGGTACTGCTGGATTCTCCACCCTTTTCCACTTGTGCTCCCCCATTGGAGGATACTCAAGGAGGAGGAAGACTTTCTTCAGTCTCATCCAGGGTTCTATTGCACATCCGTATAGAAATCAGTTCTTTGACTCCCATAGGGAAGATCCTCATGCTTGACACCAAGGATTGTGGGACCAATCCTGGATGGCACTTTCTCTCCCATTTGGTTCCCCCCTATGGCCATACTGGGATCCCTGGGATGAGTACTGATAGCAACTTGCCAGATAACCATCTCTGACACATTGGAAGGTTAGAGATGTTCAATCCTCTACTCCCCAACCAGGTCCCCAACACAAAGAAACGTTTGAAGAACAGGAGGCTAGGGCAGATGAAGAAGCCACCCCTCACGCCTATCTCTTTATCATCTTCAGATGTGACAGTCATACCTCCACCACCATCCATGGTTGATGATTTCCTGCCATTTCAGGACCTTATAAAATGAGTAGCCAGTACTCTTCAAATACCACTCAAAGAGGTCAAGGATTTTCAACATAAATTGCTTGACATTTTGCAATCTGCAACACTCACTAGAGTTGCACTACCCATTAATGAGGTATTCCTGGACCCAGCAAAGACAATTTGGCAAACATCTGCTAACATTCCACCAAATTGCAAATGAGTGGTTATCAGGATTTTGAATTTCTATTCTCCCATCCTCCACCTAATTCTCTGGTGGTGGATGTGGTGAATGAGTTGGGTAAGCAACACTACTCAGTCTACCCCATATGACAAGGGCAAAAGCTTTTAGACCTCTTTGGATGGAAGTCCTATTCTTCCTCAACTCTGCAGTTTCAGATCGCAAACTATCAGGTGGTCATGGACAAATAATTTCACAACCCGTAATAAATTTACAGTCTTTTTATTGATTTTCCACAGGAAGAGAGGGAACAATTTCATGCCATCATTGCAGAGGGTCAATTATTAGCTAGAACTTCTCCTCAAGCATTCTTGGATGCCACATACACCAATGCCAGCTCCATCTCTGTGGTGGTAGTTATGCGCAGGGCATCATGGCTCCAACTCTGAGTTTCTGAGAGAGGTTCAGAACACTGTTGAATGCCTCCCCTTTGATGGTTGAAAGCTGTTTGCAGAAACCACAGACGAGTCTCTTCACACACTGAAAGACTCTATGGCTGTTTTAAGATCTCTGGATGAATATATATAGATATATATCTATTCTGATGAAAGAAGATTCAAACAGCCCAGAGATCTTGCCCATCTTAGTTGGATTTCACAGATCCACAAAACCCCCCAGGAAGAGACATAAGTTCCAGAGAAAAAAGGCGGCTACTCCTTCTTCCAAAAGTTCCAAGTCATCATTGAAACAACAATTTTGACAAGTCGGCCAAGGGTTTGAATCCTTCCACACTTCTGATTCAGCACCTTGCAACACTTTGCCCATCCTTTTGAAGACTGCTTTTCCCTTTCTAGCATGCTTGGAGGTGGATCACTACAGACAAATGGATCATAAAGGTCATAACACCAGGCTACACTGTCCATTTTTTATCCATCCCTCCCTCTCACAAGCCCTTACTGAGGCAAGAAATAGATTGTCTCCTTCAATTAGGAGCAACAGAGCCAGTCCCAGCTCCTCATAGGAGTAGGGGATTCTATTTGAGATATTTCCGTGTGCTAAAGAAGGATAGAGGGTGGAGACCAATTTTTGGATCTAAGACTAATAAAAAAATTTGTAAAGTCTCATAAGTTCAGGATGGTGACTCTGGCAGTGATAATCCCTATATCAGAGGCAGGCAATAGGTGTCTTTTTGGTCCAGGGCTGAAAATCAACTTCCATATAGTGATATACCCATTTAACAGAAAATATCTACGTTTTACTATAGGCCAGGAACATTTTCAATACAGAATATTTCCCTCCGCCCTTTCCTTGATCCGAAGGGTGTTCTCAAAGGTCCTCATGGTAGTGGCTGTTTATCTTCGTCAAGAAACTATTTTAGTCCTCCCATACCTCAACGACTGGCTGCTCAAGAGTCAGGCTTACAAAGTAGTCCTGTCACTTGCTCGGACGTCATTTTCTCTTTTCCAGGAATTAGGTCTTCAGCTCAACGTAAGAAAATCCACTCGGATCCCTGTACAGAGAATACAGTTCATTCAGTGTATTTGAATTCAATGGCAGCCATGGCATACCTTCCCATGGAAAGATTCTTAACTTATTACATCTAATCAGGACCATTGAAGGGAGACTTTAATCCTCAGAAAGAAACTTTCTACAGCTTCTGGGTTATATGGCAGCTTGTGCTTTCATGACCAATCATGCAAGACTACGACACTGCTGCTTCCGGGGCTGGCTCAGAACAATCTATTCACCATCCAGAGACAGTTTGGACAAGCAGGTCACGGTCCCTCTTCATGTAAAGAACTCCCTAAACTGCTGAAAATATCAACTCAACGTTGATGTAGGCACTCCTGTTGTTCACCCAACTCCAACAATAATTGTGACAACAGATCAAAATTTCAGCCATTTACCTCCCTGGAGTTCAGAACACAGCCGATGACCTTAGCAAGGGCGGCAACAAATTCCTCAGAACCACTCTGCATCTGATCTTGTTGCAAAAACAATAAGTTCGGATGGCGTAAGCCCCAAAGGGACAGACGGCCCCATGGGCAGTCCTTTTCCGATACCCCAGTAGAGATTTCAAAAGGTCTCTTACCTCTTCACTAGAGCCTTGGGGTTCAAAGGGGAACGGTCCGTAGTAGTTGTCGCTGTCTCAGCCGGGCATTGCCATCCGAGTCACGGCACCAAAATTGTGGAAGAAAACAATGTCCTCACTCTGAGTTTGAAGCAACAAGTCAGAGGCAGTTTTATTACAAGCAATTGCAATTGCACGGAGAGTACACACAGGCAGGGATTCCCCTCCCTAGGCAGGCCTCCATTAGATAAACAACTAGGGCAAGCATTTATACCTTTTGTTACAGACCATAATGATCAACAACCGCATCTTGTTTATACATATTCCTTCTGATATCTTACTTTTCTCAGCAGTTCCTGCTACAGTCTGTATTCCATTCTTATCTAACACAAGGTTGAAAAACAGTATCTCTTACAGTTTTTTGTTCCACTCGCTTTCCACTTACCCAGGCTCTGCCTGAAATCTCATGTTATTAGAGCTAGTGTTAGCCTGACTCTTACTTTATTCCTAGAAGTCAAGATATCTGCATTCAAATTCCCTTTTTTTCTTTTCTCTACTTCCACAACCGTATATTCTAGAATTGGGAACTACCAGGTGTGGACCTCTTGGCTGCCACCAGGAACAAGAAATATTTTAGTCTGTTTTTCTCAAGAGGGGGTCTAAGCTACCAGTCTCTGTAAGACACCTTTCTCCTATTTTGCATGAAGGGTCTATTCTATGCATTTCCTTCAACACTGCAAATACAGAGACTAATGAACAGGATCAGACATGACCAGGTCCACGTTATCCTTATAGTACCAACCAGGCCGAGACAAACTTGGTAACCTTACCTGCGTCAGCTGTGCATCCACACAGCAACCAAACTTCTTATCATTCCTCATCTCCTCTCCCCAGACAAGGGTCATTTACTTCATCCCAACCTAAGGATCCTCCAAACATGGTTCCGTAATCGTTCGTATGATTAGAATCTACCTGTTTTGTGGAACTACAATAAATGTTACTGAATAGTAGAAAGGAGTCAACCCAAATTATTAACCTGCAGAAGTGGAATAAAGTCAACCATTGGTGTCGGTGCCACTGACTCATGTCTGAATCCTTGTTGCTTTCAGCTATTCTGGACTACCTGTTGGACTTAAAGAAATCAAACTTATCAGTTAGCTCCATTTAAGGTTCATTTGGCTGCAATATCAGCTTTTCATCCTCCAGTAGAAGGATTTTCTGTATTTCCTCACCCTGTGTCTTTAGATTTATTAAGGTTTTGGGGAAATTCTTTCCCAAGTTAGGGACCCCACTCCAACTGGGAACTTCAACTTTGTACTTAAATGTCTTTCAAGCCCTCCATTCGAACCAAGGACAACCTGCTCTTTGCTTCACTTATCCATGGAGGACTGCCTGTTTAGTAGCTATCATGTTGGCCCGAATGGTCAGAGAAATTGGGGCCTTGATGGCAGACCCTCCCTCACGCTTTATGGAGTTATTCAAGGACAATGTCTCTTTACACCACACCCTAAATTCTTACCTAAGGTACTATCAGATTTTCATCTTAACCAGTCCAGTTATCTTCTGGCTTTTTCTAAAACCACATAAGTCACAACAGAAGACTTCTTTTCATACCTTAGCGATTAGGAGGCCAATGCCCTTCTATCTAGATAGGACCAATCAATTTCAGAAGTCACCTAGACAGTTTGTTTCCATTGCAGACAAATCCAAGGGGTCCATGACTTCTGCCAAGAGATTGTCGAGGTGGATCTCTGGGTGTATTATCGCTTGTTATGGTGCAGCTGGTGCTCAAACCCTCCCTCCCCATAGGTAACAGCACATTCTACCAGATCACAACGTCCAGGGCATTACTCAAAAACATTCCAGTATCTTCAGTACATACATTTAATGCATACAACGCTAAGCCTTGTTCCATGCCTCCAGTTCAGATGCAGCATTTGGTAATGCAGTCCTGTCTTCAGTTCTGGACTCAATTATGAAGCTCCCTGCTCCAGGTGACTCCCAAGTAGTATCTCCACAGGAAGTGCAGTACCCATAGGGACACTACTCAAAGAAGAAGAGGTTACTCATCCTGTGCAGTAACTGTGGTTCTTTGAGATGTGTGTTGCTGTGTGTGCTCCACTACCTGCCCTCCTTCCCCTCTGCTTTGGACTGTTCTCTTTGGAACATTTGGATGGAGAAGGAACTGAGGGAGGTTCATTCACACAGCCTTACATCGCCTCAGTGCGAGGTGCAAGGATACACAAGACACATTCATAGGCCAAACAGAGACCCTGCTAATGGAAAATGTCTCATCCAGGGCTCAAGAGGAGCATGAGCACCTGAAACGGAGCACCCATCGGGATGCATGTCTCAAAGAACCATAGGTTTCAGAGTAG